GGACCAGCATCTCAACACGAATACCCACGCCTTCCCCAAAGGGTAAGGGAGGGAAGAGGTGGCCACAGCCTGATCCCTGGCTCCAGCTAGAGAGCAGGCGCAGTGCCCTCAGCCATCATGAAATCCAGCCAGGACGTTACTATGGCTTTGGATATACTGTCTGTGCGCTGTTTATCCTTCTGCCATGTCCCTTTTCTGAAGATAGAGTAATTTCAGTAGTTTATCATCACGTATCTGAAATTTAGTTACAAAGACTTTGTTTTTCCGCATAGCCTTCCAACCATAGCTTGCTTTGTCTGCACATCAGATACAGAGACTACACTGAACCAATTCAGCTAGCTTGTTAAAAAAAAAAAAAAAACAGGCCTCAAATTTTTCTTATAATTCCCTCAGTTTCAAGCACATCAAATAACTGATGGCAATTAACCACAAGACTATCAAAACAGTACCTTGGAACACTGTGAAACAACTGAAGATAATTTAAAAACCCCTACATTATAGTGTGTCATTCATTGTATGAGACATGCACTTAGAAAAAGAGAAAAGTCACAAATGGAAGAAGGGCCTTTCAATTGTAATATTACAAATCAACTTTTAAAAAAGTATGTATTACAATCTTAGAAGATGATGCAACGTATATTCTGTCAGATTATGTGCAAATTGCTTCAAATCCAAATTATTAAAGCCCAGAAATAACTTAATTGTAACAGCTCTTTCACCATAACAATCTTTCCTGATAACCAACACTTCATAAACAACTAACAGCTCAAAGCTCGGGGCGGGGGGGGAAGTCTATTGCTCTAAAGCAAGGCATGACCAGCAACGCTGTTCGTGTCTGAGTTGCACCAGTAAGATGAAAGAGGAAGAGGTGAAGCCAAAAGCATTTCCCACTGATGGAAAGAGCACATTCTGTTGGAACCAGCCTGATGCTAAAGGACATCTGCTAAAGCAGAACAGTCATCTAATTTATTTCAGATAATCAGTCTTTGTTTTCAGCCACAAAAGTGGCAGTTCAGTTTTTTGACCAAATGCTGTAGTAGCATCTGTGGATGGACAGGTGTAACTACCTTACATTTTTGTAAAGTCCACTAGGATTTTATAGATCGGTACAGAAACTCTGAAGCTATTACCTCCCCACCCCTGCGTTAAACACAAAGCAGAATGCTTGCAAGCTCATTAAGTTCTCCCTGAAAGTAACTGAGAGATTACATATGCAGTTTTAAAGAGAGCTCGACTATCTGAATAAATGTATATTACACACAGCTGATTTTTATTAGAATAACAAATTCACCTTACAGGCATTCGTGGGTAGTAACTGTGGTGTGGAAGAAAAGATACTTGGTCACATTCAAAGCCAACTATCAAAGCACTGCTCCAAGTAATTTCTGTAGTTCTGCTTCTGTTAAGGAAGCTTTAAACACCTGCATTAAACTGTACACAAACAAAGTAAGAAAGACGAAAATATTTATTATCTACAAACATATATTCTACAAACAAATGTTTAACCTATCAGCAACAAAAATGAACCATTCTCAGGGATTAATCAATCTGACATGACAATAACCATTACTGTTCAGTTCCTACGTCATAAAAATATGTAAAATGTTGCAGGTTCCTAATTAGGTATATTTCAACTCATTCGCTGAATTTCAAAGATTCAGAATATTCAAAATAAGATGGCATTGATCTCAACACAGCCTATGTTAAAACAAACCAGCACCGTCTCTTCATACAAGTAAGCTTTCAAAGAAAGCTACTTTTGAATAAAGATTTTTATAACTCTTAAAATGCATTCTCATTCAGCTTTTTCATCTTACTTATTGAATGTTAACTATACTTTTGATTTATCTAGCATTTTATAAAGTGTATCTATAGAAGACAAGCAATGGTTGAGCTACATTATATTTACCATTTACAAATTATTTCCTCACCAAGGGTTCCTGTGATTTCTAAGGTCACAGGCTGGGTTCAGTTATTCAACTGTTAAGTTTCCAAGACATCACGTACAAAATATTCCCTGAAGTCATTAAATGCATGTTAGTTTCTGTTCTTCATTAAAAAAACACTTCAAGAGTTGTGCATTTTAGAAGTCAGAATGGTCTTCCTTAGCCAGTGTTTAAATAATTGTATTTTTATTGACACTCCCATAATACGCATGTCATTGAGTTGTTACATTTGAGACACTTACCTCCTTAATTCAACAACTCATTTTAAGCCATTTGATGAAATTGCAGCACCTCTCTCTAGAGTAAAAATCACATTAGCTGATACCAGTTTCAATACGCCCATCAACTTTTTTTCCCCTCAATAAAAAAAAAAAGTGGTTTAAACCTGGTTTTGCCTTAACACTAAGAAAGAAGAAAAAAAATTTATTAAAAAGTAAGCTGGTAAATATCAAACACTTCCCATGTCAGTAACAATCACCTATTTAGTCAGGAGGAATAAGAGAAGCACCCCTTTTCTTAATTATGTATTGTAATTGTGTTCAG